CAAAAAGGGTAAAAATAGAAAAGAGCTATATAGGACTAACATTTCTACATCTCACTGGAGTGAAGCTCACATAAATTTGAAGCTGTTTCTGATAACATAAGATGTATAGGCTAACCCCTAGAACAACACCAAGAAAAAAACTCAAAGATATGAATGGTGAGAAAAGGAAATTAAAAAGCTACATTAGAAAATATTTCTTTGATGCAAAAAGAAAGCAGTAAAGGAAGGATAAAAGGAAAAATGACATGAGACACAAAGAAAACAAAAAGTAAAATGGCAGATGTAAATCCATCCATATTAATAACAACTTTAAATGTAAATGTATTAAACAGTCCAATTAAAGGCAAAAATGGTCAAACGGATTTAATAAATACAAAACAAGATCCAACTATGTGTTATTTGTGGGAGATATAATTTAGATTTAAACATAAAAATAGGTTGGAAACACAAGAATGGATAAAGGTACATCGTGCAAGCAACCAAAAGGCAGGAATTTACTAATAAGAGACACAACAGAACTGACAGAATCTTCCTAGAGATTTTTAAAAGGACATCTTATGAGATAAAATGGGCAATCCATCAGGAAGACAGAACAAGTGTAAACATACATGCACCAAAACACATGAGATGACAGGAGACAGACCAGAAGGAAGAAATATATGATTCAACAACAATAGCCAATGACGTCCATATTCAAGTTTCAATAACAGATAGAACAATTAGGCAATAAAGCAATGAGGAAATAGAAGAGCCAAATGACACCGTAAACCAACTAGACTCAGCAGACATCTACACAACAACCCAACCACTGAGAAGCAGAAGAGGCATTCTTCTCAAGAGCACATGGAATGTTTTCCAGAACAAACCATAAGCCAGCTCATGAGAAACCTTCAATCAGTTTAAAATCATAGAAATAAGGGCACCTGGGTGGCTCATTTGGTTAAGTGTCCAGCTTCGGCTCAGGTCATGATCCCACGGTTGGTGAGTCTGAGCCCCATGTCGGGCTCTGTGCTGACAGCTCGGGGTCTGGAGCCTGCTTCAGATTCTGTGTCTCCCTCTGTCTCTGTCTGCCCCTCCCCTGCTCACGCTCTGTCTCTCTCTCTCAAAAATGAATGTTAAAATAATGCTTAAAAAATGATAGAAATAACACAAAGTATGTTCTCCAACCACACAGAATAAAATTGGAAATCAATAACAGAAAGAAATTTGAGAAACTCACAGATAGGTAACCATTACACAACACACTCTTAAGGAACCAATGATAAAAGAAGAAACCAAGTGGGAAATTAGAAAATATTTTGAGTGACCAAAAATAAAGACACAACATATGAAAACTTATGAGGTGCTCTAAAGCAGTTCTCAGGGGGACATTTGGAGTTCTAAGTGCTATACTAAAAAGGAAGAAAGATCTCAAAACAATAACAGACACTTCTACTTGAAGGCTCTGGAAAAAGAAGAGTAACTGTACCTGAAGCAAACAGAAGGAAGGAAATAATCATGATAGAGCAGAAATTAATCAAATCAAGAATAGAGAAACCAGTTAAAGAGAATTAAAAGAAAAAAGAGAATTAAAGAAAACCAATGAAACCAAACACTGTTTCCTTGAAAAAAAAATCAATGGAAGTGACCATTTAGCTAGATTTACTAAAAAGAAAAGAGAGAAGACCTAAATTACTAAAATCAGAAGTAAGAGAAAGGACATGAAGACTGGCCATGGAGGAAAGAAAAATGATAACCCTATGAACAATTGCATGCCAATAAATTAGACAACTTGAAATGGACACATCCATGTAAAAATATGGATCACTGAAGCAGACTGTCCAACTCTAGATTTCACTGGATGAAAATTAAGTCACAGCTCTCTGGGCTCAGACCTAGTTTGTAGCGACATGGCTAAATGCACCAAGGGGGTCAGACCATGGGTCAATATGGGACCTCTTATGATGCCTCCCTCAAGAAAATGGTGAAGATTGAAATAAGCAGCACTCTAAGTACACTTGTTTCTTCTGTAGCAAAACCAAGATGAGAAGATAAGCTATGGGGATCTGGCCTTGTGCTTCCTGCGTGAAAATGGTAGCCAGTGAGGCCCACACCTACAACACCACTTCTGAAGTCACGGTAACGTAGGCCATCAGAAGACTGAAGGAGGTGAAAGACCTGGGGAAGCACCGCAATCTGAAACATTGCTAGCCTATAATAAATAGGTTAATTTATGTAACAAAAAAATAAATAAATAAAGCATACCTGAAGTTAGGTCTCTAACTGTATTTTATGTAGGTAAAGTTGATTAATCTGACTTAGAGGCTGTTTTTGTGTAATTATGGTAGTATCTATATAAGAGCATGGTAACAGGCTGCACTTAAAAATTGCTGTACCCCTTCTACTCACATGAGTATCCAAATATGTGGATGAATTTTGAGATTCTTTGCCTGCCTGCTAATCATCTTGTGCAAGACACATGAAGAAGGTGCTCATAAAAGGGGATTTAATCCTCTTCAGTAAATGGTGCTGGGAAAACTAGACAGCCCCATGGAGAAGAATGAAGAGACCCAAAAGTATATAAGGAATGAAGCTGCATGACACTGGATTTGACAATGACTTCATGGATATGACACCCAAAAATGCAACAAAAGTAAAATAACGAGTAAGATTTCATCACATTTAAAAACATTATGCATCAAGTGACATGACTGACAAACTGAAAAAGCAATCTATGGAATGGGAGAAAATATTTGCAAATCATATATCTGATAACAGGTTAATATCCAGAATATATTTTAAAACCTAGTATAACTCCACAACAAAAAATCAAAAAACTCAATTAAAAAAGGTGCAAAGGCTGGATGGCTCAGCCAGTGAAGCATCCACCTCTTGATTTTGGCTTAGGTCACACATAGTCTCAGGGCGGTGAGTTCCAGCCCTGTGCTGGGCGGATCCTGCAGGGACAGCACAGAGCCTACTTGGGATTCTCTCTCTCCCTCGGTCTGTGCTCCTTCCCCGCTCATGTGCTCTCTCACTCGCTGTCTTTCTCAATAAATAAATAAACATTTTTTAAAATGTGTAAGGACTTGAATACATACACACTTCTCCAAACAAATATATGAATGGCTAACAAGCACACAAAAAGATGCTCAAAATCAATAATTGTTAGGAAAATGCAAGGAAAAGCCAGAATAAAATATCATCCCATACCCGTTAAGATGGCTGTCATTAAAAAAAAAAAAAAAAACAGAAAATAATAAGTGTTAATGAGGATGTGGAGAAAGTGTGCACTGTTGTTGTAAAATCAACAAAATGCTGTGCAAAGCAGTAAGTTAGTTCCTCAGAAATTAAAGGTAGGACTACCACCTGATCCATCAATCCCACATCTGGGTACTTATCCAAAGAACTGAGAGCAGATCTCAAACAGATATTTGCACTCCATGTTCATAGTAACACTATTGATAATAGCCAAGAGGTGAGCAATTTAAATGTCCATGGACAAATGAATAAATAAATTAAATGTCACACACACACACACACACACACACACACACATACACCATTCAACTTTAAAAAGGAAATAAATCCTGTTGAATGCCAGAACATGGATGACCTTTAAGGACATCGTGCTAAGTGTAATAAGCCAGTCACAAAGTGACAAATACTGTATGATTCCATTAGTATCTCTAAAGAAATCAAATTCATAGAAAAAAGAAAGTAGAATGGTGGTTACCGGGGTGGCGACAGTATGAAAGAGAGACGTGTACTTTAATAGTAACTATGGAGTTTCAGTGATGTAAGATGCAAAAGTCCCAGATGTCTGTGTCATGACATTGAGAATATACTCAACACTGCTGAGTGTACATTTAAAACTTGTGAAGATGGTAAAATTTGTGTTATGCATTTTTACAACAATAAAAAACTTGCGTTCCTGATAGAAGGAGGTGGTTCAGCTCACAACTCAATGACACAAGTGATTCGCCTTGAATAACCACCAACCTCCGTGTGCATTACAAGTGCTGTCTGCATCCTTCCCATCTCATCACACAGGACGCCATAAACACATGCTCTCAGGAAACACCATTTAATAAAATTAATAATTTTTCATATTAAACACTGGGTGCTGGGTAAATTTAAGGTGATCTTACTACCACTTTGTAGATTGGCAGTTGCTTGAGGTAAGTGTCTTTATTTCATTTGCCTCCTATTCTGACACCAGGATGTGACACAGACTTGGACTTGTCCAGAGCTCTGTGAGAAGCCCCTGGCAATTAGGAGCCATGGTTTGGGGTTAGGAAAGAGCCTGGGGCTGCCCTGTACGAAAGGAGTAGGGGAGCAAAGGCCGAAGGAAGTGTGAAGACCACAGAGCACAGATGCAGAGCCTGGCCAGGGCGAAGCGGGTCCGCACCGAGATGGGGCAGTTCCAAATTCCCAGGAGGGAGTCATTGGCTCCAGCTTGGGCCAGGGGTCTAAGTGGCCAGGAGAGAGGGATGTCACATGACACAAGCTCAGTGTCCTGGGGTGTTGGGTGGGTGAGAGGGAAATGGTAGAGAGCTGAGAAGGGACTGGGGTGAGCAGGTGCCCCCAAAGGAGTCTGAATAATGAAGCCAGTGCCCTCACGCTCCCTCCTGACAGGTTACCGGACCAGGCTTGGCCTCTGTCCTTTCCTAGCTTTTACCCATTTCCACCTGCAGGTAAACACCTTAATCACAGATCCCACCTCTACTTCACATGGCCTCCAGCTCTGCCCCATTTCTCTTCGATTCTTTACTGCAAACCCCTCATAAAGTTGTCCATGCCTGCTGACGTCACACATGTTTTGTGAGAAAATACTTTGCAACTATGTCTACTTGTATTAGTTGGCATCTACAGTGGGTAACACTTTCTCTTTTCCATTGTTTGATTATTAATTTATTACTTATGCTTAAAAATTCATAGATCTAATTTACTCAATGGGTTATATATATCCATTTATATCTGTTATTATCCTTATCTATTATGCCCTTATCTACTCAGATGGCTCCAGATCTCACCACTGGGAGTCCTAGACTGCTTTAGGGATTGAACCCAGACCCAGGCACCATTGTTCCTTGTGATGGCCAGCAGACCTTGCCCTCTCCCTGCAACAATTTCCACCCAGGTATTTCTGCCCATTCTCACACAAGTGATTGGGAAGAATAACCCTGACTCAGCCCCAGAAGGGTGCCCTGTCTTGGCTCACGCTAATCTGTATCCTATGTCCCTGGAACATACTGATTGATTCAGGACAACACCTGCCCCATTCGGGCTGATGAGAACATAGTGTCTGATGGGGTTTCTAGGAAACAAGCTTCCATTCTCTTCCAAGGGCAGAGAGGCTACCAAAGAACGCTCTTTCCCTCCTGACGACATACTGTAAAATTTAAGTTTGGCCCTGATGTGGCCATGGCTGCTGCCCAGAAGGAAGTCAGCTGAGACCAGTCTCACTGTACAGAGGTGGGAAGACCTGTGAGATAGGCATAGAACCGGGCCTGGAGCTCTGTGGACACCACTCAGTTCTGGATATTTCTGTGCCTGAAGCTACTATGGACTGCTTAATGATTTGGCCCAATAAATTGCCTTTTTTACTAAATCCAAAAAGAGCTAAGATTTGTGTAGATTGCAGCCAAAAGAATCCTAAATAATAAGACACTCTCTGAAAACTGAAAGGGAAAGCCCCTACAGGAAAGGAAAGGTGGGTATCTGTCCCCTCTGACCAAGAATACTCTGACCTACAACCCTGCTGCTCCTCCTCCTGGCCTGAGAGCTTCTGGGGGTACCTCCACCCTGCACCCCAGGCTCTCCAGGACTGTGTATCTCTAGTGACTGTCCCTAAGTATTTCATGAGCATATGTGTAAGGACTGCTGAGGCTCACTCGCTCACCACAAAATCCCTAGCCTCTAGTACAGTGCGGGACAAACAAGAAACATTTATTGAAGGAATGCATGAGCCACCCAAGCACGCCTCCCAGCCCCACCCCTCAAATCCACCAAAGGAAAAGCAGCTGTGGCCAAAAGCTTGCATGACATTTATTCTTCTGCAGGGGGAGGCACTGAGAAGTTAGGTGAGGGAACTGGAGGGTGGGCTCTGGGTGTGGGAGGGCAGAAGCAGGTGGTGGTTGCTGGCGAATCCGTGCTCCTCCCCAGGGTGGGGTCAGAGGTCCCAGGGGCTCAGCGACCTGCAGTGGAGACAAGAGAGAAGTGGGCAGGAGTGTGGAGTGTCCACGGGAAATGGGGACTAGAACCTCCTGTCCCTACAGAACAGCCCTGGACTCACATCCTGGAACCCAGTCAGGGGCCTGTGTGGCTTGTGGGGCTTTAGAGATGAAAAACCACAGACTCTAATCACGGGAAATGGGGGGGACTCACACTGTGGTGACCCACAGATCTGAAGGCATCAAGTCCCAAGACCTCAGTCAGGGCTACATGAGCCACCAGAACCAAGCAGGGTCCTTCCTGTCCCACGTGCTGCAGCCATGGCCTGACCTGCACCACAGCCTGGGCAGCCCTGGAGGGACAGACGGGAGAGCGCTCCCCGCCAGCCGGGCTCCTGAGCTCAGCTCTCAGGCCCCTAGAGTCCTGGGCACAGATGTGGCCTGGCTCCCGTGCTGGGGGATGGGAGTTCATCGGGACTCTGATGTCTTTGACGGTCCCTGTCTGAGGCCGCTTGCCTGGTATCAATGTCCCTAGACATTCAGCCCTTGGTAGAAATCAGAGCTACGTGTTCCTATCCCCTTCCCAGGTGAGGACACTCCAGCTCACAGAGGTTAAGCTACTTGTTCAAGGACACAGCTGACCACAGATGGGGACCCCAGGATTGCCTGCAGTATTTCTCAACCATTTCCAACTACAGCCCCTCTGCCCACCTTCTCCACACTTTGCACACAGTGGGGGGAGTGATGTGTCACCTTCTGGAAGCTTGGTGGGATGTGTGTGAGCTGCGGAAGTTCTGTGTGGCAGCTGGATTTCTGTGGGTTTAAACCCTTTCGCAAACGCCAGGGGGGTTGAAGTGGGACCTCCAGGAAAGACCCTGCTGGCTCCTCCACACTCACCTATTGTAGGGGGACACATCCTGAGTTGCACACAGATTTCCTTGGAGCTTTTCCCATTCATGATGCTTTGGGTGATTTTATTATCATACTTAGTGATTAATTCCTGGCATTGTTTTTTATTCCCAAGTATCTTCCGGCACACCAAGGACAGAGCGTGTTTGATGGTTTCCTGTAGTAGTAACATAGGAAGAAGAGGAATCCGGTGAGCTCAGCCCAGGGCAGACGCCCCCCTGCACACCCCAGCAGTTCTAGGCCCTGGGCACCTCTGACCAAGGGCATGCTGGGAGTAGAGCCTGGTGCCAGGTGGCCATGGGGACAGACGATAGAGGGGCAGGGATCAGACCTCACGCCCAGGCCCCAAAGCCCTGGCCCAAGTGTGGTCAGGAGGGGCACTTGTGAGGACACTGGCCCTGTAGTGTCCCAGTCCCCTGTACATCGTCATCCCACCCCTCCTGCCTTCTGTGTGGGGAAAAGCGCCCACGGCTCCTAGACCCACAGGAGAGGCTCTGCCTGCCAAGCTTCCTGGGCCCCAACTTGATGGGTGTCACACAGGGTGTGTGACGAAGGTTAGGAGGGGAAAGAACTTGGAGTCTTGGCACATTCGACTCTGATATATCTTCTGCCACCATCCCGAGGAGAAGGGTAAAGCTGCGTTCCCAGGGCTGAGGGTGGGCCCTGCAGTGCCAGGGAGCTGAGCAGGATCAGGGAACAAAGCAGAGGCAGGGGGGAGGGGAGTTGGGAGAGCAGTGCTTCTTGGTAGTAACACATCCCCTTGTGTAGCACTTGCTCAGGGCCAGGCGTGGAGCTAAGCTCGTCCCACCCCCTCAGCTCCTTTAAAAGGTTTCCATAACATGCAAGAGGTGATTCTTATCCATCCCACTGCTCACATAAGAAAACCGAGGCTCTGAAAGCATTAAGGACTTGGTCCAGTCATGCAGCTAAGAACTGGTAGATCTGAGGGGGCTCAGTGTGACCCAGCTCCTCACTGGAACCAGCCTCGCAAAGCTCTGTCTACCACACATGGTGGGGCCAAAGGGGAAAGATTCCTACCTTCCCTCAGACCAAATTTCCTTTGATGGTGGGACGGAAACCCTTCTTCCTATGTTCACACTGACAGAGCTTCGTGATTTCAGGGGATTATCTGGGGTCAGTCCCCAGACACCAGGTGGCCCACAGATCCCTGTTGAGAAGCTATGGCCCACCCTGAGAGCAGCCCCTTCCACAGTGTCGCCCCCTAGCCCTCCAGCGCCACTTGTGCCCTTGACCGCCCAGCAGATGGGTCCCCAAATCACCAGGCCTCACCCGTGTGATGTCATGTCCCAGGGCTTTTCTCAGCACCTTGATTATCTTCTTACAAGTCATACATTTCAAATGCCACCGGTCACCCTGTCAGAAAACAACACCTCCTGAGGTGGCATCTCAGACACCCCAACAGTCCTTGGCAGGGACCCAGGGAGGGGCTCTCAGGTGTCTCCCAGGCCAGTGGGAGCCTCTAGGATCTTTCTGTGCTTTAGGGCCCGAAGCAGGCTGGCTGGCCCTGCCCACCCTCCTTCTAGGCTTGGTGGGGCTGAGACCCCCTAGCACCTGCCCCACAACCACAGACCCTCACCCAGAGCAGCCCTCTCCCCTCTTCTCTACTCTGGTCAGAACCCAGAGGACCCTCCGGGGGAAGGCCCAGCCAGACTGAGGTAGCCCCACAACCGGGCACAATGGTGCAAACACCAGCATCTTCAGCCCGCAGCTTTGCCTCCCCTCTGCCCCGCAGGATGGGCAGCCCTGCCTGCTGGTCCCAGGACAGAGAGAATGGGGAGGGGCTGTGGGAGGTGAACAGGGAGCCAGCAGTGAACCTGGGGGATGTCCTGGGCCAGCATCTGGAAGAACTTCTCATCCTGACACATGTTGGCTGTGTCTAGGTCATGGTCCTCAGGAATCAGACCAGAGAAGGTCAGACCTGGGGAAGAAACAACATCAGCATCCCTCCTCAAGGGGAAGGAGACAGAATGGTCAGATCTCCTGGCTGGCGGGGAGCCCCAGAGGTGGCCAGAGCACAGGACAGGAGCGGGGCTGTGTGAGGGTCCAGGGGTCCTGTCCTCACACCCCGCCCTGGAGCTGCTCTGAGCCAGTCTCTGCAACAGAATGCTCTCAATTCTTCTGGAACCAGGAGGAGATTACACTGCACTCCCCCCCCACATCAATGCAACCACTTTCTGTCTCCCTGTATCCTTCTCTGTTCTCTCTCTCTTTCTCATGCACACACACACACACACACACACAGAGATTTGGAGCTGATGTCAAGGAAACTACCCTCATCTCCTTCAAGGTCTTTCTTTCTCTCTCACCTTCCCCCAAGAATTCAATTTGGTGGCCCAGCACAACCTAGTGTCCAGACTGTCCCTCCCCTCAGCTAAGGAGGAGCTGCCAGGATGGGCACGGGGGGGAAGGTCCTTACCCGGGGTGGCCAGGAGCGCCGAGGCAAGGAGCAGGAGGGCCCAGAAGGTCATGATCAGTCAGCTGCTGGGGCTCCCTCTACACCCCCCTTTATGTGGCTGCCACCTCGCAATCTGACCTTGCCGGGTCCTGCTCCTCTTATAGGCCACCTCCCCGTGTCACTGGACTTACCACAAACACAGACACCAGTTTGTGGAGAAGTGGGGGGAGGAGTGCTTCCTCAGAGACTCCACACCATCTATCTCCCACCCACCCCACACACACACACAGAGCTAGAGCTTTCCCAGTGAAGGGGGGGGGGGCGCTGGAGGGCAGCAGGTGCCATGATGCCCCCACAGCCCGGGATGTGGTAATGGACCAGCAATCCCTGCACCTGAGGGCTCAGGTAGGGCCCTTGGCCCTGGAGCTTCCCACCCCTCCCCCGCCCCTGCCCTCCTCTCCCAGGGGTCTGTGCTGCTGTGCCTCCCCCAGCCACCTCCTGTAGCCCTGCTCTCCCCCAGCCATTTCAGCCAACGGAGCTCGGCCACACTCGGCCAGATTTAGACCCAGGTCCCTCAGGGTAGACGCGGACACCTCCTCCCCGCTCTGCCTTCTGGGGCTTGGTGATCCCTGAGCACGGGCACCGCTGACGCCTGGGTCCCCAGCCCCTCACCAGCCTTGTGGCCACCACACGGAGCCGGGCTTTTCCCTCAGAGCCAGGTGCAGCCCAGCCATCCCTCGCCTGGTCCACAGGGAGAGACAGCCCATGGGAAGGAAGTGAGCCCCGGCCAGGGATCTAGTCCCAACCCCCCAGGGTCTGACCCCTCATCTGTGCCATGAAGGTCACTGGGCCTCATCTGCAATGGAAATACAGGCTGGGCTGTTAACATCCACTACCGGATAAATAATAAGCCATTGTCTAGTGTAAGTGTGTCCCAAAGATTGCATGGAATATACTCACCCTAAAATGTGTTTGCTCTTTACCTGACGCTCACATCCAACTGGGCATCCCATCTTTTGTCTGGCAGCCTTCACCCACGTCCTTTGTGGCTCAGAGGAGGAAACTGGGTGGGGAGAACAGGGGGGCCTGACCTCAGTCACTTGGCCTCCTGGGGCCCTGGTGGGACTAGAACCTTCTCCCACTTCCTTTGGGGTCTTTCACCTCCAGCTGCCGAGATCACAAAAGCATGCGCTCAGGACGAGCTGACAGGGTCCCCTCAGCACCTCCCAGTCCTCTGTCCCCCTTCAGTGTCTGCTCTGACTACTCCACCCCCTCCCACCTGCCCGGGAACCCCATCCTGGGCTAGTGTCCAGCCTTGGTCTGGCCTTTTTCTCTGAAATATTCTACTTTCCTGAGTCTATTCAGAGCCCTGCTCTCCACTCACTTCTGCTGAGAAGGAAGGAGGGTGGAGTCCAGGCAAGCAGGCCTCTGACCAGCTGGAGGCAACTTGAGCTCCATACTCCCATCTCCTGGAGCCTAGGTTCGAGCCCTGAACCAAGGGTTTTGAATTCTCTCTCTCTCTCTCTGCCCCTCCCATGCACTCTCTCAAATTAAATCAAAAAACTTAATGTTTTTTTCTAAAAATAAGAAAAAACTTACCAAAGTTTAAAGGTCAACCAAGAGGTGACAAGATATTTGGAGCAAATATACCTTACCATTAATGAGCTGAGCTAAAATCAAGAGTCAGACACTTAACTGACTGAGCCACCCAGACACCCTGTTTAAAAAATGTTTAATTTCCAGAATCAAATTGTCTTTCTTCGAGAGTACTTTTTCCAGCTTAAAAAATTGTCATTATACCCCTTTCCCTAGAAAAACAATTATTTTTTCTATGTGTTACACTTATATATTTTTCATTGTGACACTTTAATACTCTGGCGTATTTTAGTAAGTTATGGGAGATCAAATATATTCTTTTTAAAATGCTATTTATTCTGTTCATATAAAAGTGTTCACTGTATAATAGTTTCCCTTGCATGCTATAGATTTGTAAGAATTCTTTAATCATATCTTAAGTTATGTGTAGTAAGAGCAAAGTCTTATTTGTGTGTTATGTTTTCTGCCTCATCAATCTGAATAGCTTGTGTTCTATTAACACCCCATCATTCAAGTACAGCTTTCCTTTTCAGATGGTCCCATGATATTACTTTAAAATTATACTTCAGAACAGAAGATTTTTGCAAATGATATATCTGACACTGGGTTAATATCCAAAATATACAAAAAGTTATACAACTCAACTCTAAAAAAATAGTGATAATCCTATTTAATAATGGGCAGAAAACCTGAATAGATATTTATCCAAAGAAAACGTACAGAGATGGCCAACAGACACATGTAAACATACTCAACAACACTGATCATTGGGGAAATGTAAATTAACACCACAATGAGAAGTGTGCTTCCTGGATAGCTAGTTGGTTAAACATCTGACTTCAGCTCAGGTCATGATCTCACCGTTTGTGGGTTTGAGCCCCCATCCAACTCTGTGCTGATGGTGTAGAACCTGCTTCAGATTCTCTTTCTCCCTCTCTCTCTCTGCCCCTCCTCCACTTGTTCTCTCTCTCTCTCTTTCTCCCTCTCCTTCTCCTTCTCAAAAATAACTAAACTTAAGAGAAAAACAAACAACGACAATGAGATATCACCTCACATGTGTCAGAATGGCTAGTATCAACAATACAAGAAATAACAGGTGTTGGGGAGGATGTGGGGAGAAAGGAACCCTCAAGTACTGTTGGTGGGAATGCAAACTGGTGCAGTCGCTGTGGAAAACAGTATGCAGGTTCCTCAGAAAATATTAGATACGGGAATACCATATGATTGAGTAATTTCAATACTGGGTATTTATCCGAAGAAAATGAATATTCTATTGTAAAAGATACACGCACCCTTATGTTTATTGCAGCATTATTTACAATAGCTAATATATGGAAGAGGCCCAAGTGTCCATCAATGGATGAATGGGTAGAGGAGAAATTTTATACACACACACACACACACACACACACACACACACGTTGGAATACCATTCAGCCGTCAAAAGGAATGAGATCTCCTCCTTTGGACAACATGGAGAGACCTAGAGAGTATTATGCTAAGTGAAATAAGTTAGACAGAAAAGGACAAACACCGTATGATTTCATTTATATATGGAATCATGAAAACAAAAATATGTATAAACAAGCAAACAAAAATCAGAATCAGACCTGTAAGGACAGAAAACAAACTGACGGATGCCAAAGTGGCTGGGCAGGTGGGAAGGCAAAATGTGGGTACAGCCTTCTGGTTATGGAATGAATAAATTGCAAGGATGAAAAGTAATAAGGTCTGCGGTCAATGACATTGTAACAGTGTTGCATGGTGAGCACCTGGGCTGCACTTGTGATCATAGCATTATGCATAGACTTGTCTAATCACTATATTGTACACCTTAAATGTAAAATGGTACGTCAGCTATCCTCAAATATAAATAAATAACAAATAAATAAAGTAAATAAATAAAATTTTAAAAATAAAATCACACTTCAGATATTTATTTATATTTTTTTTTGAGAGAGAGGGTGCAAACAGGGGAGAAAGGCAGAGGGGGAGAGTGAGGTTATCTTAAGCAATTTGCAGAAACTGCTCCATACTGATTGTGGAGCCCAGTGCAGGGATCAGTCCCACGACCCTGAAATCATGACCTGAGCACAAATCAAGAGACAGTTGGTTGAGCAACCAACCAACGGCGCCACTCAGGCACCCTCACTTCAGATATTTTATATATTGTAATGCTTTGTATATCAAAAGTATACTAAATATATACTAATTACTAAAGATAATACTTATACTTTTTTAAAGTGTATTTATTTATTTTGAGAAAGACAGAAAGAACAAGCACACATGCAAGCAGGGGAGGGACAGAGAGGAAGGAGAGAAAATCCCAAGCAGGCCCACAGAGTCTAACACAGGTCTCAAGTCCATGAACCGTGAGATCATGACCTGAGCTGAAACCAAGAATAGGACACTTCAGCAACTGAGCCCCCCCGGCACCCAAGGTTAATATTTAGACCTTAGAGATTAATTCAGTAAATAAAATATCACATTGTAATTCTCATTTTAATTTTGTTAGAACAAAAGAGTAACATGAAAAACATTTACACCATTATAGTCCTTTTCCAACCATGAGCATAGCCTCACCTTCTGTTCTTCCAAGTCATCTTTTGTATCCCTCAAAAATATCATAGGAAGAATCTCAGGCACAGGAACCAAGCTCCAGCAGTGCGGCCTGCTGAGGTGACCACAGGACATTTCCTTACCATCTCCTAGGCGGGGCCGCAGAACAGACCTGCTTTCCCAGGAAGGTTGAGCTGCGAGGAATCCTTCTCCCTCTCATACTGTGTCAGGACTCGGAGCTTATTCATGGAGCAAGTGACCACAACAAATGAATGCAAGGAACCAGAAGTAAGATCATGACAGGCAGTGAAAAGGAAATAAAATCAGAAGATCATCACAGAAAGACCCAACAGAGAAAGCACAGAAGAAAACACAGGGAAGCAGAGTTTTAGCGTCGCATATTTCAGCAAGCCGCCTGAGATTTAACTAAACAGGACTGCTTTTGCTTTACAGAACGGCTCTGTTCAGGGAACCAAACCAGCCCCTCCGTGTTAACTGTCTGCTCTTCTTGGTTATACTTGGGGAAACTGCGCTAAATGTCCTCACAGTTGGAAGGAGAATAAAAACACCCGTCCTACGTGTACATTTCCTAGCATTCATCCGGCTTTTACTTTCAGTGACCACTTCTGCTGGGTTCTGTTTCAGGGATGTGGAGTTTGAGGCCTCAGGTTTATGAGGCCTATTTACTCCAATTATTTACATTTGCCCATTTACTCCAACCTTTTCTTTACTTACAGCTTTTTGCATTATCCAGCTTTCTTGATAGTTCGTGCAGATTAGTACCTGCATTTCTCTAAAATCACCACGTTTCCACGTAGGTGTCAAAACGTGTATTTATTTCGTTGCCATAATTGTATTTTTTTCTTACAATAATTTGAATTGGGAGTTCAGTCCTTGCTGATTCTTTGAGAGATCCAG